AAGTTCATATGTCACTCTCATCGGTATGTAGAGGACAATCTATCCATGTAGGATAATTAGTACATATGTCACTCTCACCGGTCTGTAGACAATAATCTAACCATGTAGGATAATTAGTTCATATGTCGCTCTCACCGGTCTGNCTTGGTCTCTATTTCTCTCTCGTTCTTTCTCTCTGTGTTGAGGATAATTAGTCCATCTGTTGGTCTCTCAATCAGTAAAAGGATAATTAGTTTACATTGACATTGACCTTTGACTTGATTGGTAGTCACACTGACAATATGACATGCTTTCCCATGTAAATGAACCTTACAATACAACAGAAGGTATGAAGAGATTCCTCAATCCAGCTTAATATACTTGGCTTGTGTCTCAGGTCTGTGAAACAATGTATAGACACATGCACATCTGGTAGAAAATACATGTACAATGTTTTAATGAATGAACAAATTAAATCAATGCAATTCCATTTTTTTCTGTTTATATAACATAATGCAACGGGTACAATCAACACATCATCTAGTATACCACCTTACACACACCACTCACTCCTGTGTCTGCAAGGCTCCATTCAATTGACTTTAAACAGAAAACTATTAATTACTTCTACTTCAACCTGTTATCCCAATTCTTGGCTAAGATTGATTTTGATGGTAAAATGATTGGTTGCATTTTACGAAAGATATGGCTTCCAGTAAATGAAATCCTAAACTGTTAGTTTTTGGAAGCAACACTGTTTTGCTTAAATGTTTGTATGTTATCATGCAAACCATTATCAGTAGTGGTTAAATGTTTTGATAAAAAGGTCCCTTCAAATTCCAATGTAACACTTTTGAAATTACATGAATGTTTATCCTCAAAGAGCCCCACTCCCATCATAAATATACAATAGCTCTTAATTCTGGAGAATATTCTCATTATCCATCATCCTTAATAGCGAACACTTTTTTCTTTGGTACTTCCCCCCCCCCCTCTGAATAATAGGCAGTTAAAAGAGACATGCATTTTTACACACTGCAGGTAAGTTGGAACATCAGGAATGAAAACACAAGGAACACATATACCACTAATTTATATTCTACACTGGTAACAGAAGTGCTTGTACAAGCAATAGAATAGAATATTCCCAATGTGATTTCATTGATGTCTACCTAGTTAACTCGACTACACACATATCTGTACAAGCTATACGATGGGAAATCAGCAATTCAATAAAACAAGGAGAGATATTTTGACATTACACATGTTCTTGCAAAAAAATCAACAATACCCCCCCTTGTGTAAATCAGATACTAGTTGGATTTCTTCAAACAATAATCAAATTACCCTATAAAATTGATAGAATCAACATTTCACTAGAACTTATAGTGAGACTGACCATGTGTAAATAACTCCTTTATGCAGTGTAGTATTTGCAATATGTTGAGTATCAAGTTGAATTAGAAAAAGTGGCTGGAAACTGAAATTATATGGACTTAACAAAAATGTATTTTGTGAACAATTTTCCCAATATTCTTATTAATGGCAGCCATGCTCCACACTGAACACTAGTGATACCTACAACACAGTTACCAAATCAGTTGCAACATATTGCCATATTCCTTATGAGTTACATCATGTTACCACATGTTACTAAACTACAAATTAATATATATCACAACATATCAACAACTTTTAAAAACTGATGTGATTTGTGTAGTGACCTAAAACATACAAATCACATTTTTTTTTTTTACAATTTTAGCTGTTGAGCGATAAAGGCTCTGCCGAGTAATTTTTTTTTTTTTTTTACAAATGCAGTACTCTGTATAAATAGTGTTTTGTAAAATATGAAGATCCCTATGAAAATGCACATGTGGGTGGCCGTGAACATGAGAACGGCATACCATGCGATAGCCTCTGGCTACATAGGTACCGGACATGTAAATATACCATGCACTATGGAATAATGTCCAAAGTGTGCATGATTGAGAGTAATTGATAATTTCGATATCATGATTTCAATCTATTTTCATCATTTTTGATATATGGAAAAAGAGATAAGTCATTGTGTAATTTAATCCCTCTCCAAAAAGTTCCTATCTTTTTTAAGGAAGAAAACTCTCAACAGGAACAAATTTATTGTAAAATGTCAAATAAATGAATCATAAAGGCATTGTGTATATTTTGTTCATTTTTTTACTCTATTTATATAAAGCTATGTGTCCTATTGGCCTTTACCTTATGGATAAGCACTTTTATCCATACCATTTCAATAAAAACACTTTGTGGAACGTTTTTATATATTTTGTGATAACTAAATTAATTGTAAGGTTGACAAGCAAGCTTCTTTTCATCTTGTTATCGTTGTTATTGTTCTGAACAATGCCACACACCAAAAATTAAAAAGGTCTGTAAACACAAAATCATTTCAGGGGGCATAACTACATATGGTACTGTCACTTCAAAAACACTTTCAAACAAATATATTTAACAAAAGGCCCAGAAGGCCTGTATCATTTACCTGGATTTTTATGCCTAGCAATGTTATATATGGCTATGTGTTTAGGATCTCAACCATTTCAAAGTTATGGCCCAGAAATTAAGTCCCTAGTGGTCTAGCCAGACCCAAGGGTCAATATTATTATCATGTTTATATGGTGAGGATCTTGATAATGACGAAGTTAAAAATCCTTTTTGGCCCAGCTTCTCAGACCCAGGGGACGGCCCTTTAACAGGTACAATTTTGAATCCTCAGCCACCAAAGAATGCTCCAAACTAAATATGGTTGATATCTATCTATTTGTTCTAGAGAAGAAATCTCTTTCAGCAATAAGGCCAAATTAACCCTTTTTGGTCCCTCTCCTCAGCCCCCAGGAAGGCAATACCTTCCATTTATGCAAAATTGAGTCTTCTTTGAACAAGAATGCTCTATACAAAATTTGGTTCAATTCCCTCCATTCATACAGACGGAGAATGATTTGAAACATTTTCCCGTATGTACTCCCTACTAGGCCCCATCCATCTGCCCCAAAGGGAGACACTCCCTCAGTTTATGCAAAATTGATTTCCCTATGCCCAAGGATGCTCTGGACCAAATTTAGTTAAAATCCCTTCAATCGTACAGAATTGCATTAGCTCCAAATGAGGTTAAAACAAAAGAAGGGAACATAATGATGACATAAACTGAACATATATTATTTACTCCTGGTCTGGTAAAAACTGTACCATGCATACCAGTTATAAGCTGTGAAATCTCAGTAAAGTATATAGAAGGTTTACAGTCAAGTCACAAGTACGTAAGACATGAACAATAAACAAAAATTGAAATTGACATTTAATAATTTAAAACTACGACACCTTTTTGGCATAATCAAAATACAACAAGAGACCCATGGGCCTTAACGGTCACCTGATATATTTATACAGAGAGTTGATTTTGTTTTTAACATGAACAGAAATATTATTCAAAGTGACAAAAAACAATAAAACCACCTTATTCAATATCTAGCATACACATTTAAGACTAAAAAGTATTTGAAACTAGCACCTCTGATTCTAAACAAGGAAAATGAAGAAATTTTAGCACACTGACATCTTCGGGCCCCACCCAACAGCCCTTGGAGGTAGGGCTGGCTCAAAATTTTCAAAGTATCAAACTGTCAACTCAAGGTTATAATTCCAATCAAGTTATTAACATGTAATATTCAAAGTATCATTTGCCATTATAAACCATAATAAATTTTGCCCCCCCCCCCCCCTCCTTCCCCAGGGGGTAAACGTGAGACCCTAGGGTCATAAACCTTAAGACCCTTCCATCTATGAAGAGTATTTGATTCTACCATATCTGGGTCTTGAGAAGAAGATTTTTGAAATTTTAGTCAATTTGACCCTTTTTGGCCCCGCCCCTCAGGCCCCTGGGGGCCTGGTACTAAACCGGCAACTATTTTTGTTGACCTTAGTCCATGGAAGGTTCCTGCAAAATTTCATTGAAATTGGTTCAGTGGTTTTGGAGAAGAAGTCGAAAATGTAAATTGTTTACGGACGCACGACGGACGACGACGGACAAAAGGCGATCGCAATAGGTCACTTGAGACTTTGTCTCAAGTGACCTAAAAATCTTAAATTCTAGGATTATACATATAGACTGTTTATATTTGTAGAGTTTATGTATGCATTGAGAAATATGGATTTCTATCTATTTAGCTACGATCAATCATTCTTCTTCTCTTGTTCTGACTTTGGTTCTGCCATATTCTCCTCCTCCTCTGGTTGACTGACAGCAGATCCTGCTTCTGATTGGCAAATTTCTCCTTTCATTACTGCAGTCCCATTTTGATTGTCCATTACTGCAGTCCCATTTTGATCAAACATTTCTTGACTTGTTCCAAACTCATTAACACGTTTTGGATCAATTCTATATATATAGCGTTGATACAGGAAAATGAAAAATACAATATCTGAAATGCAAAAAAGATGTATATAGAAAACAGACGTATCTTTCTAATTTTTGAATACAGCATTTGTTCAATTTGAACTAAATAAAGCAAACCATAAGCCCCTCTACCCCTTGTTTACACATGATATCTTAAATAGCTCTAAAGCTTTGGGGTTAATTAGTACCCTTCAGTAATCTCTTGTTAAGATGGACACAGTTATTTTGAAATGTTCCTTTATAATGTTACTTGGGACTAAAGAAGAAAACGTCAACATCTAGCTTGGGACTTTAAACCTGTTGACTCTCATGGCCTTATCATGAGTCTCAAAATCTCAGGGCCATTTTATACTTGTGAAACTGTGCATGTTTCCTAAATATTATTACAAAAAGTGTTTGGGCCAATCAAGCTAAAAATGAAATTTTGCTATCAGTGTCACCTGGCTCAAGTAACATGATCATAGAAATATTGTGTCAACCAGCAATATCATGTATATTCTTAGTTCCTATGTGACCCCAACATTTAAAATGTTTCTTCAATATTAACAAATAGGTGGCAACATGCTTTCTGGATCGACAGCTTTACTCCATTTTCTAATTTAGTGGATATGCCTCTGCAGTGTGATATCATTAACGAATGAAGCCAATAACCAAAATGAAAAACAATATTTCTATGTTTTAAATATTCCCTTATGCTTGTTAAAATACAAAATATGACAAACTTAGTATGAACTGATAAAAATGATTTACGGCTGTTGTGTCCACTGATTTTACATGAACATGTCAGTCACAGTAAAATGCTCAGGCTTTGGGCTGTTCCATCCGTGGAACATTCCAAGGGATCTTGGTGGGATTGTTTCATCTTTTTTAATGTAGTTAGTTTTTTGTTTCAGACAGAAAGGCATGAAAATGTAAACAAATGCAATAAACTGCTTTCAGATACAGTTCAAAGGTGTTATAAATACCACTGTATTACAGGAAAATGAAACATAAACCACTAATCAGGTCCAATAATACCAAGAGTTTGATTCATGTAACTAGGGGCCATGGGGAGCCTTCAGGTGAAATTTGAAAGATCCCTCTAGTTCTCTTTGTGAAATAGCTCTAAACATTAACTTTCAAAATTCAAGATGGCTGCCTGTTCGCCTTCTTTTTTCTCTCTATAAGACCCAAAATTTAATACTTTTAACGAAGAACCATAGGGAATCTTTGAATGAAATTTGTGAAAGATCCCTTTAATAACCTTGAAAATAAGACTGCCTTGAAAATAAGCCAGTTTCCAAATTAAGCCTCAAATTTTGTATAAAAAAATAAATTAATAATGGTGTTATCAAGATTTTAGGATATTATTGATATCAATTTAATAATTTTGCCAGAGAAGTCACTTAAAGCAATGTGGCCAATTTATTCCCTTGGTTCTACCCTTCAGCTCCCCCTTGGGGTCAACCTCTCCATTTGTATAATTTTGAATCCCTACCACCTGAAACAGAAGATTCCAGAGGGATCTTGGTGTCCACCATCGTACCATCTTCCTTAGTTCTATACCAGTTTGATCGTTTCTCTTCTCTTATCTTATCTGTTTGATAAGTTTTATCCGACAGCCATCATGTTTCTCTGATCAGTCTCAAAAGTTAACATGTACCACTTAGGACTAAGAGGAACCTACATATCAAATTTGCAACAGATCCCTCCAGTACATTCTGAGAAATAAAGCCAACAAATTTTAACCCTCAAATTCAAGATGGCTGCCAGTCGGCCATCTTGCTTTTGTTATCAGTCCAAAAATTCCATATGCATAACAAAGGAGCATGGGGAACTTTCATGTGAAATTTGTGAATGATCCCTCTGGTACGTTTGGAGAAATAGCGCTAACAAGATTTGTTTAAGGATGAACGACGGATGGACCACAGATGAAGGGTGAGATTTGAATAGCCCACCATCTGATGATGGTGGGCTAAACCATCCAACTAAATATGTTTGCAATTCTGCACAACATTGCCAGGTAAATATGTTGTGAGGGTAATTTTGTTATGGGTGATGTGATTTATTTTTTCAACTGTTTTATCAAAATACAACAAAATATAATTTTAAATTGGAATTGCATCTTCATTATTTGGCAGTAAAAAGGTAACAGGTCTTTTCTTTAAGATACCGCATATTTATCATACTTGGTATTGAATTTTGCTCTGTCTTTTGTGACAGCGTATGTAGTGAAATAAAATTCCCTTGCGAAAATTACTAACTATGCAGTAGAACTTACTTTGGCACCCTCTCAAAGGGGGGAAGGGGTAGCCCCACTTTGTACAATTTTAAATCCCCACTACCCTGCAGGGCTGCTTCCAGTCATATCTGTTGCTAATATGGTCACAGAAATATTGTTTCTATTTAAGTTCTGTGGGAAGTAAATATTAAAAGTATGCCTACCATCTCTGAAGCAGCCTATACGGTAGAGTGTCGGCATTTTGATAACAAATGCAAATATATCATCTATGAACGTGTTTAGTGCTTTGTAGGTCATCATTCTCCATGGCAGGTGAGCAACAGACTTGAGCTTGTAGTTGATAAACAGCTGTGGTGTCATCATAATAAAACCTGTATCAATGTCAACAGTAACTTAAGCTGTGTCATCATAATAAAACCTGTATCAATGTCAACAGTAACTTAAGCTGTGTCATCATAATAAAACCTGTATCAATGTCAACAGTAACTTAAGCTTTAAACTTTACCTTTATATTTAAAAAAAGAAATTCTGTATCAATTAACGTAAATGACTGAAACTTGAAGTGAAATTTGTCAATATTTGCAGTAAAAAATACAGGTCAGACTGCTATAATTTCAATATGACATTGAAAATGACTTCATAATATGCCTTAAAGTTATTTATGTGGAGGTTTAGTAATCCAACTTTTGAAAGAGAGGGTCTTGCCATTTATGGACTTACCAAATGTGAGAAGGAATCCATACATCATGGAGAGTACCCAAGAGTACCAGCCCTTGTGTTCCTGGTAGAACAGACTGTACACTGCATAGCCACCCAGTAGAGGGAACAGTGCCCATGACAGGTACTTAAACGCCAACTGCAAGGATAAAATGCATTTATATCTCCCTGTCTTATTTTCACATCAAAGTCCATTATGATGGAGTAAACTACGGAAAAGGGGTTTACTGATTGATCATTAAACTAGAAAATGTCTGTAAGACATAAATGCCCCCGCTGCCATGTGAAATTAGTTTCAGTGTTCTATAAAAAGTTACAACCACTTTGATCTTGATACCCTGAAACAAGCACACACACAAGGTACTACACTTAAAGTTGAGTTGATTTCAATATTCATGTTTTTCTGTATGATATTACCATCCTGTCACACAAGGATGTCAGAGGTATACCCATATTTGACCTTTATATCAAGGTTGACAAAAATCTGTGAAAGAATGAAGTTGGTAAGTATTTAAATTGAATCAGACGGTGATTTTCTATATATAGCAACAGTGTCCATGACCTTAGAACCGTGAAACACAAGGATGTCCGAAGTATACTCATACTTGACCTTTGCATAAAGTTTGACCAAAATCCATAAAAGAATGAAGTTGCTATGTGTTTAAATTGAATCAGTTGATGGTTTTCTATATATAGCAACAGTGACCTTGACCTTAGAACCTTAGAACCGTGAAACACAACAATGTCCGAAGTATACCCATACTTGACCTTTGCATAAAGTTTGATCAAAATCCATGAAAGAATAAAGTTGCTAAGTGTTTAAATTGAATTGGTTGATGGGATGGGAGGGACATGGGCAACACTATATGCCCCCCCATTTTATGGCGGGGGCATGAAAACGTGAGGTTTTAAGGACTTTCTGTAATTTCATGCCCAATGCTGTGAGACTTTATCAGAGTTAAAAAATCCATGAGATCTGGCATATATATGCTACAAGCATATAATTGTGAGCAGAATCTGGTCAGGCCACTAACCTGCTGTACAACAGTGGTAAAATCAAGGCTTGGTCCAGAAAAAATTAAAAGGTCCTGGAGCATGCATAACAGTACATGTAGTGATAGTGTCGCTAGTGTGGACACAACCTATACATTAGGATAAAACCCCTTTATCCTTACCTAGTTCAGTACTTCTTGAAAATGACAAACAAAACCCAAAAAGGCAAGATGATCATTTAAGTCATGTAAACTACATTAGTAGGGCATATGAAACTTCACTGACAATCATAACTGATGACTTACCATATCATACTTCTTTGTTTGAGATTCCGAATAAGTGGATTTATCATCAAACGAGAGGCGTGGTATCACTCCCATGATGAGGTTATCTCTGTCAATCTGTGAACAAAGGACATAGACACTGTCAGACTTTCGGACAATTGATTTGATTATAAGATGAAAAGAAACTTCAAATATGTTACGGCCAATGGATAGAGTATTCTCTTGTATCAACCCTATTTAAAAATACATAAATTATGAAATGTTAAACTATAGCATAATCTGTGATTTTTTTAAATCAAAACATGGCACCACAGCCCAACCCTTAATTCTCCACCTGTTGATAGACAATATAATAAAGATGCCTGTGGGCCTTCACAGTCACCTGAGTTAAAATACATTTCTAACTGTTATTCTGTGACAAAAGGTTTAAGTACATATACATGTAACAACATTTATCCTTTTGACTGTGGATTGGTCTTTTATAAAATGATGTTTGGGAGTGATTAACATTTTAATACAGCTAGCAAATATCAGTAAAATGATAAAATAAAAGGCCCAATGGGCTCACCTGATATCTATATCACACTTGTAACCTTAAAAGTGGACTCAGATATGGCTACTGGAAGAATATCAGTATCTATGACTCTAAATCAAACACATTTGACCACTGTGACCTTGAAAATTAAACAATGTGATTACATTGAACAAGCTTTATAACCCTTCAATTCAGCGTGCAACTTGCCAAATATAACCACCCTAGACCTTTCTTTTATTCAGATGATGTTATTAAAAGGTGTAGATACATTCCATCATACCCTAGACCTTTCTGTTATTGAGATGAGGTTATTAAAAGGTGTAGATACATTTCATCATACCCTAGACCTTTCTGTTATTGAGATGAGGTTATTAAAAGGTGTAGATACATTCCATCATACCCTAGACCTTTCTGTTATTGAGATGAGGTTATTAAAAGGTGTAGATACATTCCATCATACCCTAGACCTTTCTGTTATTGAGATGAGGTTATTAAAAGGTGTAGATACATTCCATCATACCCTAGACCTTTCTGTTATTGAGATGAGGTTATTAAAAGGTGTAGATACATTCCATCATACCCTAGACCTTTCTGTTATTGAGATGAGGTTATTAAAAGGTGTAGATACATTCCATCATACCCTAGACCTTTCTGTTATTGAGATGAGGTTATTAAAAGGTGTAGATACATTCCATCATACCCTAGACCTTTCTGTTATTGAGATGAGGTTATTAAAAGGTGTAGATACATTCCATCATACCCTAGACCTTTCTGTTATTAAGATGAGGTTATTAAAAGGTGTAGATACATTCCATCATACCCTAGACCTTTCTGTTATTGAGATGAGGTTATTAAAAGGTGTAGATACATTCCATCATACCCTAGACCTTTCTGTTATTGAGATGAGGTTATTAAAAGGTGTAGATACATTCCATCATACCCTAGACCTTTCTGTTATTGAGATGAGGTTATTAAAAGGTGTAGATACATTCCATCATACCCTAGACCTTTCTGTTATTGAGATGAGGTTATTAAAAGGTGTAGATACATTCCATCATACCCTAGACCTTTCTGTTATTGAGATGAGGTTATTAAAAGGTGTAGATACATTCCATCATACCCTAGACCTTTCTGTTATTGAGATGAGGTTATTAAAAGGTGTAGATACATTCCATCATACCCTAGACCTTTCTGTTATTGAGATGAGGTTATTAAAAGGTGTAGATACATTTCATCATACCCTAGACCTTTCTGTTATTGAGATGAGGTTATTAAAAGGTGTAGATACATTCCATCATACCCTAGACCTTTCTGTAATTAAGATGATGTTATTAAAAGGTGTAGATACATTCCATCATACCCTAGACCTTTCTGTTATTGAGATGAGGTTATTAAAAGGTGTAGATACGTTCCATCATACCCTAGACCTTTCTGTTATTAAGATGATGTTATTAAAAGGTGTAGATACGTTCCATCATACCCTAGACCTTTCTGTTATTGAGATGAGGTTATTAAAAGCTGAGATACATTTCATCATACCCTAGACCTTTCTGTTATTGAGATGAGGTTATTAAAAGGTGTAGATACATTTCATCATATGTGCCCTTGAATATGCATGACGGTTACTCATTTAGTTAAATAAGTACCCTTTCATCCCTGCATGCTAAATAAGAAGTTATGTGAATGTTTAGAACTTATTTGATCCCTGTGCCCTCGAATATAGGTGAAGGTCATTCATTTTAAAGGGACAATTCAGTGAAATAAGTGTTTTTTTATACCTTGTCACAAACCTCTTCGTGGTGATATAGTATGATACTCAATGTGAATAATTCATGTCGAGAAATTGACAAGAGACAATGTTTTCTTGGCGTTTTTAATCAGTAAAGGAGTAATCCTTAACTGTACAGCCGTACATTTAAGCGGCAGCTGTCGGTGAATTTCTAGCTAACAAAAATGTCTTCCAGTCAAGGAGAGAAGGTAACTTCTCACTTAATTCACCTAGCCTCTCTGAATACAAGTATCTGTATCTATTCTGAATCAAAATCATCTTCCTACAGCATCTTAAACATTGTTCTAAATTAGTGATCTATTTTATGTTTAAACCTATTGATATTGTATTTTCTGCGGTTTGAAATTCTCCCTGCGGTATAATCCCGGTACTTGCATGCTCTAATTGAACCTGTTGGTTTTTATTCAAATCCAAATGTGAACAGAAATATCTGATAAGAGGTATATATTATGATTCCTATAATTCTCACTCGCGATGTATTGTGTAAATTCAAGAATGAGTTATATGTGAACTCAGACCCGTAACTGGCACTGTGTTGTCGGTCGATAGCATAGTGATGTACATGTTTACTTCTCACTTAAAGGCCCGGATATTGCGCTGTTTCAGTCGTAGCTATTTTGATCACCAGCTTTCCCAAAAGATGAAACTGACCACACTGGACGTTGGCTTCAAGGTCATGACATTATCAACCACGTAAACTTTTGTTAGGAGATATATATTTTCAGTATCGACTTGATTTTCAGGTATTCAAAAAAACTTACTTCACTAAATTGTCCCTTTAAAAAACGTTGTACCCCTTCATCCCTACATGCTACTGGCAAATTATTAATATCCTTGGCCTTTTGGTTATTCAGAAGTTGTTGATTTTTCTGTTGCAGACAATTGACCCCTGTGGCCTTGAATATGAGTGAAGGTCATTCATCTGAACAAATTTGGTAGCCCTTCATCCCAGCATACTGGCCAAATATCATCATCCTGGTCCTTTTGGTTATTCAGAAGTTGTTCAAAGTTTATAATATATTTGAACCCTTTCATACCAGCATGTTACTGGCCAAATACCATCACCTTAGGTCTCTTGGTTATTCAGAAGAAGTTGTTTAAAACAAGGTTACCGCGAGCGGTATATAATACGCCCGTCACACATTGAATGAGCAGTTGTTTGTATGATTGAAATATATGAAGTATTTGTGAGTAATTGATATTAAAAGAGAAATCATTCAACATAACTGGTAGATCAATGAGTGCAATACAACATCATGGAACGCATGCATCGCATTAATGAAACCAAGGGTAATAACTCCAGTAATTACGGTCGGATAATGGCGGTTATCGAACTTGTCCGTGGTTTCATGGTAATTAACCTTGTTGTGAAGTTTGAAGTTAATCCGTTAATAATTACTCGAGATATCGAGCGGACACTGTTTCGGCAAGTCCATAAAGGGGCATAACTCCACAAATTATGGTCGGATAATGGCGGTTATCGAACTTGTCCGAGGTTTCATGGTAATTAACCTTGTTGTGAAGTTTGAAGTTAATCCGTTAATAATTACTCGAGATATCGAGCGGACACTGTTTCGGCAAGTCCATAAAGGGGCATAACTCCACAAATTATGGTCGGATAATGGCGGTTATCGAACTTGTCCGAGGTTTCATGGTAATTAACCTTGTTGTGAAGTTTGAAGTTAATCCGTTAATAATTACTCGAGATATCGAGCGGACACTGTTTCGGCAAGTCCATAAAGGGGCATAACTCCACAAATTATGGTCGGATAATGGCGGTTATCGAACTTGTCCGAGGTTTCATGGTAATTAACCTTGTTGTGAAGTTTGAAGTTAATCCGTTAATAATTACTCGAGATATCGAGCGGACACTGTTTCGGCAAATCCATAAAGGGGCATATTTTTGAGCCAGGTGAGCTAAAAAGAAATTAATAAATGATAACGTTTTTCCTCATCTAAAATTGTTTTTACTTTTCTTTTTTGTTGAGTATATATCAAGCCACATTAATATCAGCATTTTTACCTTTACATTGACAACCTTATGTATTTTCCAGATCTCGATCCCAAGTCCAACTATGACACTGAGTTGAACCATGTAGTTTGTCTCATTGTCGAGGACATAGAGCACAACAATCAATGACTGGAACACATTGAAGAAGACGGAACGCACTGACAAACCCTCCAAGGACTTGCGGTTTTTCCAAAACTGAATATCTGAACAAGTAAAAGATCAAAAATTCAAAAAGACATAGGGGAAATCTATTTCAAACATATTGCTAAAAATATTACAACATAGAATATATGCCTTATCAATGATCATTTGTGAAATTAGTAATTAAAAACTTATTTTGCTAGCTTTCAAATCTCTTTTTACCTTGGAAGTCAAAGAGTGCAAATGTGTATATGCTGATGATTTTTGAAAGCTTGAAAAGTAAGTTATCAATTACTGTTTTTGTTCAAAACAAACTTATTATTTATGAGACAGTATCTTGCTTCATCAATTCAGATATCGAATTGGTTACTGTTTTTGACTTCTGTTCAACAGGGCCAGATGGTCTTTATTACTCACCTGGATATTCAATCAATCATTTCAAAATGTTCTCATAAAATATAGCAATACCATTGTGGGCTTCAGTTCTGAACTACTGGATGCTTCATAGCAAATCTGGTTGAGACCTGGGTGTATGTGTATATCATTACTGGTTTGGGGTCTCAATCATTTTAATGTATTGACCAGAAATAAAATCCTAAGAGACGGAACAAGATGCCGGAGCTAATCCTGGAAGCATACTTGATTTGTCGTCTTCATACAAAGCAAGCATACACTAGGGGATACATTTCTCTGAATCTACTCAATTTACTCTTAATCATTTTGAGTTTTTGATGTTATTAAGACATGTTTTGATAGATTGAGGGATGTTCTGTAAGAATAACAGACATTGTACTACGAGTATGGGGTTTGGAACAGATCCCAGAGCAAATCCTGATAGCATGGATGTGTTTGTCTAATGATGTCAAGTATAGGTATACCTGGACATAAGTGGGGATCTTGGGTATTCCAAGTATCGACATAACTTCTTCCATTGGACCCTGCATCTCTATGCCCCCAGTAGGGACAACACTTGCATATAAGGTTGCGAGTTCCCTTGGCCCAATGATGCTATATATCAATTTTGATTAAAATCCCTTTATGGAAGGAGAAGGATTTTGAAGACTTCCCTATATTTCCCCTATTGGGCCCTGCCCTCTGCCCCCAGCAGGGGTCACATCCTTGGTGTATAACAATGAATCCTCTTGGCCCAACGATACTCAAGGCCAAATTGGTTCAAATACTTTGGAAATGCATCTTTCATGTTCATGTTTGAGAAAACAGTACTCTGACATATGTCCCATACAACCTTCAGGCAAGATCTGAAATAGAAGTATGCTGTGAAAGTCACCAATGAACATTGATCTTTGAGATGGTTTTTACTTACCATTTTTGAAGGCAAGGAATTCAAAGATGCTGTGTACAATAGAAATGACAATTGTGAGTCCTAGCAGGTATGGGTTCGTCTCCAGGAAAGCTGTCTGAAAACAACATCAATTAAAGAAAATCATATACAAGAGCTACAAGAGGGATCAGGGCAGCCACCACTGTAAGAGCTCCTAACTTCTAGGTAAGTTTGATCTTTCTCTTTTATCTTTTGAATTGCTAGTCTTGTCAACAATTAATTCATCTTGTGGTTAATTTCAAATATTAACTTTAAACAGCAAGATTTGAAAATGTCCTTTTAAAGTAAGGTTATTTACAGTACTTCTTGAGAAATAAAGGAAGCAAACTTGAAAATCTAAAATGGCTTCCATTCTGACTTCTTGTTATTCCAATCTGTCTCAAAAAGAAACATACACAACTAAGGACCAAACAGAAGATGCAAATATAGAAGATAAACCTCTGTCCAGTACTTCCCGAGAATAGTTATACTTGAAAAAAAATATTGACGTGTGAAATTTCTGTCAAATATACATATATTAGAGGACCAACGTGCCTGCATCATTCACCTGGTATTAATCTCACACTTGTAACCTGAAAAGTGTTCTACATAAAGCTACAGGCAAAATATCAATATTTATGACTATGAATCATTCAAAAGAACCTCCTTGAAAGTCAAACAAGGTCATTAGGTTAAACAAACTTCATAGCACTTCATCATAGCAAGCAACTTGCAAAATATCATCACCCGAGACCTTTTGTTTATTGAGATTAGGTCATTTAAAGGTTTATACATATTTGACCAAATGTGACCTTGAAAGTGAGTCAAGGTCTATCAAATGAAAAAGCTAGATATCCCTGTATCAAATATGCTACTGGCCAAATATCAACATTCTGGGCCTCATGGTTATTCAAATTTGACCCATAAAGTGACCTCAAATATAAGTCAACGTCATTCATTATAACAACCATGGTAGTCCTTTATCCTAGCATGCTACTGCCCAGATATCAACATTCTAGGCCTTATCGTTATTCAGGAGAAAACTTTTTAAGTTAAAAACATATTTGACCCCTGTGACCTTGAATATAAGTCAAGGTCATTCATTTGAACAAACTTGGTAGCCCAACATTCTAGCATGCTACTGGCCAGACATCAACATTCTGGGCCTTATGGTTATTCAGAAGACGTCATTTAAGGTAATAGGATTGTGTCACCATTTCTCAGTAGAATTTTTTCCAATTTTGTAGTTATATTGCGTTGAAGTAAAGAAAATTTTCTGCCACAAAAAAAATATAGGTTGTCAGAATTTAAAGGATTTGAAATGAAAATTTATGTAAAAAGGAGTGAATTTTGAGAACAAAAATGAAAGACACAATTTTAGGCAAAATAATGTCAATAAAAATGATACTGACATAGATTAGTATTGCATTAATGTATATCAATTAAATAAATGCTGAAATTGTGTAAAATTAATTATCTATAAACGTTTAAAAATTGACATTTTATAATAAAACCATGTACATATATATAGTAATTGCATGTAAAGAGTTATCTTCCTTGAAAAACTTAACAGTAGTGAAATAGGTAGCCGGGTTCCTGAAGTACAGAAAAATGGACACCTGTGACTCATTGATAAAAAAACAACTGAATTAATGCCTGGATTGCTTTGAAATACTTTAATATTGAGAGAACACACTGTTCTGTCAATAATAAACATGCAATATTTATCAGTTTAATAGTAAACATCAGAATATGCAGAAATTGTGATACTGTCTCCCTACATTGGATTTTCAACTAGGGATGCACTTCCTATTTCCGTTTATCAATACAATCCTATGACCTTAAAGATTTTAAAAATATTTGACCCCTGTGACCTTGAATACAAGTCAAGGTCATTCATTTGAACAAATATGGTAACCCTTCATCAAAGCATGCTACTGGTCACATATCATCACCCTGGGCATTTTAGTTATTAAGTAGAAGTCGTTTAAAGATTTAAAACATATTTGACCAATGTGACCTTGAATATAGGTTAAGGTCATCAATTTGAACAGAGTTTGTAGCCCTTTATAATAGAATGTTTCTGACCTAATCTCATCATCCTGGGCTTTCTGGTTATTCAAAAGAAGTTGTTGAAAGATTTTAAAATATTTGACCAAACTCGGTAGCCCTTCATCCAAGCATGCTAAAGGCCAAATATTTCCATCCTGGGCTTTCTGCTTATTCAGAAGAAGTTGTTGAAATATTTAAACATATTTGACCCCTGTGACCTTGAAAATGGGCAGAGGTCATTCATTTGAACAAACTTGGTAGCCCTTCATCCCAGGATGCTCCTAGCCAAATATCATCACCCTGGTCTTCTTGCTTATACAGAAAAAAGTTGTTTAAAATAAAAAGTTGACTACGACGGACACCGCACCACAGCAAAAGCTCACTTGACCCTTCGGGCCAGGTGAGCTAAAAAGGTAGAAGTAACTGCCAGCCTCACTCCATTGTTTTATAATTCATTTCCATGGGAGAAGTATTTCTGCCCTGACCTTGATTGTATCTTGGTCGTCGTCGTTGTCCTCAATGAAGTCCATTCCCAGGTTGGCATACCACTTACTCCTCATTCCCTGAGCAGCATACATCTGCCAACGCAGCAGGGAGATTGGTGTGTATGTCAATGTGAAATTCAGTACCCTGCCAAAATTTTAAGCAGATATCAGAAACTTAGTAAATAGGCTAATGGATATATAAAGGTTAATTTCTTTTGAGAATTCACTGTCTGCCAAATACTCATTTCAATATTGACATCAATCAAACAAAAGGCCCGAATGGGCCTGTATGGTAGCAGAGTACAGTAGAAATGGCTTGACCCTAAAAATAAAGGGCATGTCTCAGATTAACATGGAAAGCGGATTCATCCTGCACAACACACCTACATATATATATATATATATTTATAAACTACATTTTTTTTAGAAGAATGATTTTTTTTTCAAAAAGTGATTTCCACAGATTTGGGACTTGTGAAAACCATGGTTACCACATCAAAAAACACCAAAATATGCAAAAAATCATGATTTTTAACCCAAAATTTGACCCCCGCAAGTAGATTTTTTTCTACTTAAAACCTGTCTTAAATTAAATATCACCTACTCGGTAACAGAAATACTCACGTTTTAGCATAGGTCGTTCGACTGGATTTTTCACAATATTTACACATGTGCTGAGTACAATAATAGACTACATGAAAAGCTAGCTTTGGTTGTGTAGACACAGATTTTTAAATGCCCAAAACTGTAGTCTCAAACCAAATTTGATTTTTTTTTATTGAAAAATTATGAAGCACACAATCCTCTTCATCATGTATATGCCAATTTTAGTGCCGGATTTTTTTTTTGAATTTTGTTACATGTTATATTACAGGGTTTATTCATTGTATAAAAATATTACCCATGGCCACCGTACGCTACTGTATACTGCTACCTATTGCTAACCTATTATTCGTCTAACATCTGTGACCTTCAAAGAGTTTCAAGTTCAAATGTATTTTGATTGGCTAAACATTATTACATTACACATTATATGGATCTTTGAAGGAAGGTTCTATAACTCTTCACCTTAATAATCTTTACTGTAAGATTTCAAGGTTTTTTAAAGGTTTTAACTGTTTGTACCCTTGTGGCCTCGAAAGTAAGTCAATGTCATTTATTTGAGGAAATGTTATATCGCTCTGTTCCAGGTACCTACTGGCCAAGTATCATTAGTCTAGGCCTCCTGGTTATTCAGAAGAAGATGTTTAAAGGTTTAAAACACTTTTTACCACTGTGCCATTGAAAGAATGTAAAGGTAATTTATTTGAGGAAAGTTTATAGCACTCTTCCCAGGTACATACCAGCCAAGTATCATTACTCTTGGCCTCCTGGTAAATGAGAAGAAGTTGTTTGAAAGTTTTTACATATTTGATCCCTGTGACCTTGAAAGTAGATCAAGGTCATTTATTTGAGAACAGTTCATAGCACTTCACAGCAGGTATCTACTGGCCAATTAGTATTACTCTGGGCCTTCTTGTTATTCAAAAGAAATTGTTTACAGGTTTAAACATATTTGACCCCTGCAACCTTGAAAGAGGGTCAAGGTCATTTATTTGAGGAGAGTTAATATTACTCTGCCCTAGGTACCTACTGGCAAAATATTAATTGCTCTAGGCCCCTTGGTTATTCAGAAGTTGTTTAAAGTGTTTTTTTCAATTTAGAACCAAGTGACCACGAAAGTAGGTCGAGGTCTTTTATTTGAGGAAACTTTATAGCACTCTGTCTCATGTACATACTGGCCAAGTATCAATAATCTGGGCAGAATCATCCCAGAATGCAACTTGTCAAATATCACCACCCTAATGGCCCTATACCTTTTGTTTATTTAGAAGATGACTTTTAAAGATTTGTGCACTATTGACCAGATGTGACCTTGAAAGTGTGTCAAGGTCATTCACATGAACAAGCAATCACCCTTTGGTCCAGTTGAGCTAAAAATTGGTCAATGTCATTTATTTGAGGATATTTTGTAGCAGTTTGTCCAAAGTACCTACTGGCCAATTATTATGGTCCTAGGTCCTCCAGTTTTTAAGAAGTCGTTCAAAGAAAAAGATGACTACGACGGTCAACACACCATACCATAAGCTTACGTGGCACTTTTTAATAAAAAATAAAAAAGTTTATACATATTTGACCAAATGTGACCTTGAAAATGGGTCAAGGTCATTCAAATGAAAAAGCTTGATAGTCCTTTATCCGACCATGGCACTGGCTACATATCAACATTCACGGCCTCATGGTTATTCTTTAGAAGTCGTTTAAAGATTTTAAACAAATCTTACCCATGTGCACTTGAATATATGTCAAGGTCATTTACTTTAACAAACTTGGTAGCCCTTGATCCAAGCATGCTACAGACTAGATATCAAAATCCTGGGTCTTTTGGTTATTCAAAATAAGTTTAAAGATTTTGAACATATTTGATCCCTGTGACTTTGAGTACATGTCAAGGTTATTCATTTGAAAAACCTTGTAGCCCTTCATCCCATCATGTTATTGGCCAAATATCCTCATCCTGCGACTTTTGGTCATTCAGAAGTTGTTCAAAAGTTTCATACATATTTGACCCCTGTGACCTGAAATATGAGTCAAGGTCATTCATTTAAACAAACTTGGTAGCCAAATATTACTACCCTGGGCATTTTGGTTATTCAGAAGAAGTTGTTTAAAGTAAAATATTGACGCCGGATGATGGACGGATGACCGACGCCGCGGCATAAGCTCACTTTGCCCTTCAATCCAGGTGAGCTAAAAAATGTTGAAATTTAAACCAATTTGACCCTTGTGGGCCCAGTCTTTCAGTCCCTTGGGGTTGGCCAGACTCAAAATGTTCATATTGTCAAACTGTCATCTCAGGGTTATAGTTGAAAATGAACAAAATATACCCAAAGGTATCATTTTCCTATATAAACTATAGTAAATTTCACCCCCATCCCCAGGGACGAACGTGAAACCCAGGAGTAATGAAATTCACAATTATGACAAAACACTTCAAGACCCTTCCATGTATGAAGAGTATTTGTTTCCAGCATAACTGGGTCTGAAGCAGAAGATTGTTGAGCCAATTTGACCAATTTGCCCCTCAGAACCTCAGCATCTTTGGCCATGGAAGGGTTCTACAATATTTCATTGTAATTGGTTAAGCGGTTTGTGAGAAGAAGTTGAGAAAGTAAATTGTTTACGGACAGACGACGCACGACGACGGACAAAAGGCAATTAAAATAGGTCACTTGAGACAATAATATATTAGCTCAGGTGAGCAAGCAACGAAATTGAACTATAAATGATGTGAAGAAACTCACTTGACGGTGTCGTTGATGGGCTGGTAATCAGTGTTCAGATTCCAGTACTGGTTAAAGTAAAGTACTGGATAATACTTATTGGTTCCTGGGACAAACTCCACAACTGTACAAAACATAAATATAAACTTAGAACAGAAGTGACAGTCACTAAATGCTTATTAAAGCTACTTAAAGCATTGAAATTAATGTTCCTCTCGAGTTTATTGTTTAACAGTAATTGAACAGAAAAGTTTTCTATTTTGTTTAAACCTGCTTAAATTGGGTTATCACCCCATAGCCTGAACAAAATAGATTGTTTTCCTTAAAGGTGCTATTAACTCAAATAACACCCTGAGAATTTGACTTTGTCTCAGGTGACCTAAAAAGCAACTTAGTTGAACTTACAATCATCAAGTGGGGCTGGAATGGAACCCCTCATCCAAGGGGAATGGTCATCAAGTAAATTGATTGTCAGGTTCGGATGCCAGTGGGACAGAATCTCAAATGATGAGTTTTTCTACAAACAAGAAATTTTGAATTACTAAAAACCATATTTTATATACTATCCTGGTCCTCTCTCTACTAAGTGAAATACGTCATGATCAGGTGAGCTGAAAAGAGATCCCAGAGGTATCTTGGCGCCGACCATTGGAAGATTATAATTAGTTCTAAGGAAGTTTTATATTTTCTTTTCTCTTATCTACTGGATTAGGTCTTGTTGACAGTATATGCAATTTATAGTAAGGTTTGATTAAACCTCCATACAGCTGGGTTTGACAGTGTCGTTTCAAAGTTAGGTTGGTGTATGACCTATTAACTGAAATAGAAATGTAACTTGAATCTCAAAATAAAAATATGCAAAACTGGAGAAAAGAAAAAAACTAAGTTATACACTAGAAATCTAAACCGTAATTTCTGAAAGTTCTTTCAAGTACTCTAGAGTAACTAGAACACTGACAGGTCATTAAGGGCCCCGTCTTGTAGCAATATATCCCCCATAATCATCAAGAAGCAATCTACTCATACAGCTGAGCTTGACGTTTGACATTTGGACTTCAAAAAGAATTGCAAGGAAGCAAAATATACATTTTACATGTACTATGATGTGATGTGTTTCCTTCCACCTCCATATTTGCTTGGCTAACAGAAATGTAATTACCTGTGCAATACTCATTTGTTTGCTTTGATTTGTTTTATTTCACCTTATATACCTCCTCCATCAAGAGCCAGGGTCAAAGTCAGAGATCCACTTTGTCTTTGACCTTTGGACCCAAATGACCTTGACCATTAACCCAGTGACCCTGATCTTCGGTCAGTTGACTTATTCTTTAATTCCGACCAAGTTTGCTTCTTAATATCATAACAAAATGTTCATCAGTGAAAAATACAAAACTTGACCTTGACCCTTTGGACCCAGTAACCTGGAACTAAGGTCAGTTGACTCTGTGTTAAGTTCTGAACAACATTGCTTCATAATGTCATAACAAAATGTTCATCAGGGAAAAGGTACAAAATTTAACCTTGACCTTTGACCAAGTGACCTTGACGTTTGGTCAATTGACTCGTTGTTTAATTCTGAGCAACATTGCTTCAAAGTGTCATAGGGAAATGTTCACCAGAGAAAAGTTACAAAATTTAACCTTGCCCTTTGACCCAATGACCTTTGGTCAGTTGACTCGTTGTTTAATTCTGATCAACTTTGCTTCATCATGTCATAACAAAATGTTCATCAGTGAAAAGATGCAAATTTGACCTTGACCTTTGAATCTCATGACCGTGACCTTTGACCTCAACTTTTTACCTCAGTGTCTCTTTGTTTAATTCCGAACAACTTTGGTCCATAATGTCATAGCAAAATGTTCACTAGTGAAAAGCTACAAAATTTGACCTTGACCCTTGACCCGATGACCTTGACCTTTGGTCAGTTGAGACCTTGTTTAATTCGGATCAGCTTTGCTTCATAATGTCATAACAAAATGTTCATCAGTGAAAAGATGTAAAATTACACCTTGACTTTTGAACCTAATGACCTTGACCTTTGACCTTGACTTTTTACCTCAATGTGTATTTTTATAAATACCAAAGTTATCAGCCAGGAACAAAATTTGTGGACGGACAGAAAGACAGACGGAGTGATTACTATAGGGCACCCGTATCTCTGATACGGGGCCCTAATAAATAGCAATAACAAATACCAAGAGATGAAAATCACAGCAGCCTATACTGCAGTAGGGATATTTTAAGTTTCACCAAGATATCTTGAACAGTTTAAAATTAAAACCTTGAAAACATTCACTGAAAACCCCAACCTTTATTTGAGCTTTGACCATGAAACAGTATACTGCAAATCTTTTGTGAGAGATAGTTATTTTTTGATTTTAGTCAAAACATCTTTAATGCTTTAAAATCAATGACCCAGACAAGAATTTATAAAATAAATTACATATTCAACCTTTAATTTGAGCTAAAGGTAAAGACCAAGGTGATCTGATTACAGTATACTACACACTTTTGTAGATGATATAGATTTGTCCATTTCTTTAACACTCTAAAATGTAGTCAGGAGAAGAATTTACTAAATATTTTCTACTCATCTGACCTTTGACCTTGCTGTGAAGGTCACTTTGTCTTTTTTACTTAAGTCCACTGCACATATTCTGTGGGTGATGCAGGTATATGTAATAGTTTCATTAAGATATCTTCAATTGTTTTAATTTACAGCCCAGACAACATGCTATTAGAATATCAAGAAGACCAAGGGGCAATGAATTGGCTAGTCAACAGTAACTCCAATCATACTAAACGAAAAGGATTTTAAAGATTTACCTAAATTTCCCCAATTGGGCCACACCTCTCTGCCACACCCTCTGTTTATACAAAATTGAGTCAACTTTGCCCAAGGATGCTCTAGACCAAATTTCGATAAAATCCCTCAAATGATACTACTGAAGGAGAAGGATTTTAAAAATCTACCTTAAGTTCCCCTATTGAGCCCCACCCCTCTGCATCCAGTAGGGCCACACCCTCCGTTTATAAAAAATTGAGTCCCCTTTGCCCAAGAACGCTCCAGGCCAAATTAAGTTAAAATCCATAAAGCTGTTACGGACTAGAAGCGTTTTAGAGGAAAAGTTGATGGATGATGGATAGTCGCTGGATGACAGATACTGCCCTTTAGACAAGCTGAAGTAAAAAGCTTTCAATCAAGATCAAAACAAGAGGCCCAGAGGGCTGTATCATTCATCTGGATAAAAAGCAACCATGGGAAAATATTCTCATTAAATATAACACTGCAACTATAGCCAAATATTGTCTGTGTTTCTCAGCAACACCTGTCCCTCATTGGGTCCCTGCTTGATGCCCCACTGATGTGGGGTAGATTTTAAACATTTACCATAATTTCCCCTATTGGTCTTTTTACTCTCAGAGGGACACATCATCCTTTTATACAAAACTGATTTTCACATTGCCTAAGGATATCCTACACCAAATTACGATAAAATCCCCCAATTTGTACGCAACTAGAAGAATTTCAAACATTAACATATCCTTATGGGTCTCGCTGAGTATTAAAGCACATGAAAAGAAGTCGCTTAAAGCAACATAGCTAAATAACCCCTATTTGGCCCTGCCCTCAGCCCCACCATTTGTACAATTTTGAATCCTCACCTTCTTAGATTGCTTCCAACTAAATATGGTTGATATTTATCACTTAGTTCCAGATAAGAAGTCACTTAAAGCAATGTAGCCAAATTACTACTTTTCGGACCAGTCAGATTTCGTTACTTTCCAAATATTGGTTCAGAAGCAAAAGTCTTTTGAATAAAATTGATGATGTACGGACGACAGTTTTAGCTTGCACTGTCAGCTTGAAATTAATTATTAAAGTCATGGCAAATCACGCAACTGTAGATACTTTATATGAAGTTTTCCTAATATTAATATATGTTAGGGTTTTCTAAACTATCTATTTGGAATATAGATGTTCCCTAGATGATCGCTACCGAGTGTCTTTTACAATTTGAAAATTAACTAACGAGAGTTAAATAAAAGTGATAACTAACCATCACAAGTTTGGGGACCTGTTTCTCCCATTCGTTTGTATTTGATCTGAAAAACCACATTTTCCCTTTGGAATGTACATCATGCGTGTTTACGATAGGGGAAATAACTGCCATGGAGCATGACGTCACAATGGAAAATAATGTCGAAAAGCGTTGTTACGTGACGTCATAAATCAAAGATTGACCATTGAAATCACGTCCAGGGTGAGACCCACTAGTGGGTAACCAGCAATGTGTACCGACTCCTAGCAGGTTTACCCAATGGGTCATGAGTGAGGAACCCAGCAGTGGTTGTGGCAGAACTCAAGTTTACAAGTAGCACTGGGGTGAGGATTGTTACATAACTAATGGTTAATAATGTGCTATATCTAGTCTCTGTGTCAGAGTCTGCTTGGTACCTGGATAAGGTCAGGGTGTACATCCGTCTCGCCTGTCAGCAAGTTCACTGTTTTATGGAACTTCCTTTTTTTATACTTGTTCAATCCTGGAAAAAGTAAATACATACATATTACTATTTTCCCAACACAGTATGGACCAATATTATTAACTAAAGGTAAGATTCTCAAGGACCATTTCAAAATCTGTCTAGAAATAGTGCAATTGTGGTGACAAGTTAGCAATACCATGTATAAGCCTGAATTACAATTAGTAAGTACACTGTAGGAGGTCCCAAATATTTTCGTCTGTAAGTAGAATTTTTGTTTCTTAATCCTGTAAAATAATTATGAATTCCAGTGTTGAGGTCTTTCATTCGCCACTGTCTAAACTAGTGAAAGAGGCTGAATGGGCCTGCATTGCTCACCTGGTATTAATCTTACAATTGCAACCTTAAAATTGGACTAAAATACAGCTACAGGCAAACTATCAGTGTCTTGAGTCAGTCATTGAAAAGAACTTGTTAAAAAGATTTAAACACATTTGAACTATGTGACCTTATAAGTCAAACAAGGACTGACAAACTGTATAGCCCTTCATCCCAGAATGCAACAAGTCAAATATCACAACCCTATATCTTTTGTTTCTTGAGAAGATGAATTTTAAAGTTTTATAAACAATAAACCAGATGTGACCTTAAAAGTGTCTCAAGGTTATTCATATCAATAATCACTCTGGATCTTTTGGTTATTCAGAAGAAGTTATTTGAAACTTTTCAACACATTTGACCCATATGACCTGAAATAACGATGAAGGTCAATCATTAGAGCAATCTTCAAAGTTCCTTATCTGAGCATGTTACTGGCCGAATATCATCAGCCTGGGCCTTTTATTTATTCATAAGAAATCGTTTAAATGTTTTAAACATATTTGACCCCTGTGATCTTGAATAGTTTGGTAGCCCTTCATCCGAGCATGTTACTGGCCAAAGTAACTGGGTCTTCTGGTTATTCTGAAGAGGTTCTTTGTCATTCTTTAAAGATAATAAACCGGAGACCTTGGAATATAAGTCAAGGTCACTCATTTGAACAAACTTGGTAGCCCTTTATCCGAGCATGTTATTATTCAAATATCATCAGCCTGGGCCTTCTGGTTATTCAGAAGAAGTTGTTTAGATCAGATCACTGTGACCTTGAAAAGGTCTCAAGGTCATTCATTTGAACAAACTTTGTAGTCCTTCATATCAGTATACCATCACCCTAGGCCTCTTGGTTATTCAGAAGAAGAGGTTTAAAGAAACAAGAGATCCTAAAGGGATCTTGGAACCCATCTTCATGAGTTCTGTCAGTTTGATCTTTTTTCTCTCATCTGTTTGATCAGTTTGCCTGTTTGACATCTTAATCAGTCTTTTGATCAACCTCAAAAGTTAACATGCACAACTAAGGACCAAAGGGAACCTACATATCAAATATAAGTAAGATTCCTCTAGTACATTCTGAGAAATAGTAATAACAAACTTAAACTGTAACAAGATGGCCGCCTGTCTGCATATACAGAGGTTTTCACATCAGTCCAAAAAATTGATATGCATAACGAATAACCAAGAGGAACCCCTATGTGAAATTTGAGAAAAAAACCTTCAAAACCTTTCAGGCAATATTTAATACAACCACCTGCCAACCATCTTGGTTTTTCAATCATCCCCGAAATTTGAAATGCCGAACAAGGAACCATGGAAAACCTTCATGTGAATTTTGAGAAAGATCCTTCAAGTACTTTCTGAGAATTAGTGCTAACAAACTTGAACTCACAAATTCAAGATGGCTGGCTGTTGGACATCTTGGTTTTGTGATCAGTTCCTAAAACAATATGCATAACTAGGGACGATAGGGAATCTTCATGTGAAATATTAATAACAAATCTTCACTGTCAAAATCCAAGATGGCCACCTGTCGGCCATATTGTTGATCTGATCAGTTTTGATCAGCCCTAAAAGTAAATATGCATAACTTAAGACCAAGGGGAACTTACATATCAAATCTGAAAAAGATCCTTCCAGTACTTCCTGAGAAATAGTGATAACAAACAATCACTGACAAAGATGGCCACCAATCAGCCATTTTGTTTATCTGGTCAGTTTCAAAGGTAAACTTGCACAACTAGGGACCAAGGGGAACCTTCATATCAAATTTGACAAAGACCCCTTCAGTACTTTCTGAGAAATAGCAATAACAAGATTTTTTCAAGTACTGACGACGGGGGGACAGATGCCACGGTACGGTATAATTAAGCTCATCTTGGTTCTCTGGACCAGGTGAGGTAAAAATTGTGTTCAAATTATCCACCTATTCAAACTGCCCGGAGGTTAACCATACTATTTTCCAGTCTCATGTTTGAAATCCTAAATGGGAATCTTGTACATTAACTTAAACCTTGTGTTATGCTTAGGGCTGTTCCAGAAAAAAAGACATCCCCCCCTGGGACGGCAAACTTTTTTTGTTAACGTGGGTGGTTGAACATTGAATAAAATCGTAGTTATTGGTTGTTGTTGTTGTTGTTGTATTTTCGTTTCTGTGGGTCGTTGTACGTTGGAGAAATAAAAAAAAATATTTAAAAAATAAATAAAACCTGATTAATTAATTTACATGGTGGTGTGATATGAAAATATCTGGTTGAAGCTTGGATGTAGATTTGCGTTATTGAAATACGTGCTGAAACTTTGGCAGCGTGACATTACTGTATCGTTTGCAAGTCGCTTCCGGTATGTGGGTCAAGGGACGCAACTCCTATGATAAAAAAATCAATCTTGATAGAGGGCGCTGTTATCACTCTTCACAAAAATGGCTGCCCATTCGCGTGGTTGGAGCCCGGAAGATGTGGGAAGATGGATGGCGAGGCATGGTTTAGGCCAATTTTCCGCCTCGTTTATCGGTTAGAACCTTATTAATGTGATGCTGACCGATTATAATACTATTTTCTTTCATAAATTATGTTGAACGATAACATGACCCGCCATTACTTGATCGATCTGTTTACATTAAAACGCTGTCACTTCACACGTGGTCAGACTGGGCATTTCCCCGGAAAGTCGATACCATCTCCAATTTTCAGACGATAAAAAGTCATGAAATACGACGATAAACGAAAAATGTTCAACCAAAAGTTGTTTGCAATAACCAATACTAGATATCGATTTTTCAATAACGAAAGTGAAATCTTAAATTCAGTTTATAGTTTATTTATATCAAATGATAGTAAAACAACGTTAATTATTTAATTTAATAGTATATGGGTATAAATTAACTATTTAAATAACATGGTATGTGGGTACTACTTTTTTTCCCCCTTTTTTTTAAACTAAAAAACAATTGTGGGTCGTTGGTATGGAACAAAATTTGTAATTACGGGTGGTAGGGGTCAGCTGATTATTGAAGTTATGGGTGGTAGGTGTCTGGAAAAAGTGCCGGCCCAGGGGGGGATGTCTTTTTTTCTGGAACAGCCCTTATGTTATTTGCCACAACAGTAAATGTTTTTGCATAAGAATTACACAACTTTATGCAAAAAGGTTTAGATTTTGTACTTGATCCTCATTAAGGCAAAAGACATTTCAACATGGGGATCATGAGGAACTAACGCATTAAATTTGAGAAAGATCCCTCCAGTACTTTCTGTGAAATAGCGATATCAACTCTTCACTGTCAAAATCCAAGATGCCATGATACGTATATATATACTCCCTCTATTTTTGTTGTTGAACATACTCATAGATTTGTAGACAGTTGTTCGCCTTGAGTAATGTGCCTTTTCTGCAGGATTTGGTGATTTCCCTGCACGGACAAAGTATACATGCAAAAATATTGATCCATTGTTCTGTACGACCTGAAAATGAAATTGAGAAAATATGCTCTTCAAAAATATTCAATGTTAGATATATTTAAATAGAATTCTTGATCATTGTTGGAAGATTCTATTACTTTTTGTTATGAATCTATATTTCAACAAATTTGACCCTGCTAAATTAATCAAGGTCATTCATATGAACAAACTTGATACTTGATAACTCTTTGTCCCTGCATGCTACTTGGCAATTATCAACACCCTGGGTCTTTTGGTTATTCAAAAGAACATATTTGACCCCTGTGACCTTAAATATAAGTCAATGTCATTCATTTGAACAAACTGAATAACCCTTCGTCCAAGCATGCTAATTGCCAAATTCCTGAACCATGGCATCAATATCTAAGATATTCAAAAAATGTTGTTTAAAGGTTTAAAGAAATTGACCCCTGTGACCTTGAAAGTAGGTAAGGTCATTTACAATGGAACAAATTGATAGCCCTTCATTTTAGCATGCTGCTGGCCATAAATGATCACTCTAGATTTCTAGGTCAGAAGAAGTTTAAAATTAACAATATCAGTTTAAACAGTTTTGTATTTTAAGGTCAGTAGTTCATTTCATCAAAACTTAATTAACATTTAACAGAATCAGCCAATGATGGGCTGTAATTATAATGAAACATTTGTGTTCCTTAAATTAGTTTTAATTCAACAAACTGACTCTATTTCATATATAATGGTCATGATATCACCAAACCTAATCAAGTACAGTCGAACCTCGTTATCTCGAACTCTTTTAACTCGAAGACCCCGTTTTTCTCGAAGTATTTCTCCGGTCCCGGCCAAATCTGTTCTTTATCTTAGTAAATAAAACTCTGATAATTCGAACCCTGAAAAGTCGAAAAACTTGGATACCTCGAAGTAAAATATTGGTTTCAATAGCGTTAATCCAACATAGTATCCAAATTTCATTTTGTCACTTGTTAATTCTTTGATACAAATAAAACGCAAAAGTACGACATTTCGCCATTCCGTGTTTATGAACATCTTTCGTAAGTAGACTAGCATGAAATCAGTAAAAAAGAATTTACGATAAAGCTTAGGACTGTAAAGTTTACGGACTGTCTAAACCATGTTATTCATAATAAAAAACAAACTGCATCAATGTTGATCAACAGTAATCTGTACTTACTGCGAGTCCGTTTAATGATTTGTACACCTAAACAGACGACAGTGCAAACCGGAAAATTGGTCACAAAGCGTGGTCATGCATAAAAGAGTTCCACAGTTAAAATCACAACCTAGGACAGCTTTACGGGTTCATGTTTTTACAGGAGCCAGTATGGCTTTGAAAGTCGATCGAGAGATTTAAGAACAAAACGATAATTGCTGTTGATTATATCGAGTTGAGGAGGTATCAGGTGTCATATTTGGCTTTAATGAATCAATGTGTCACATGTACGATATAATTTGTTTGTGTGTTTTCATTTACAAAATCAACTACGCGTACGCTCCATTACAGTGATTTGTTTTAGACTTGCGCACTTTCATTTCCGGATTGTAAACTACGAGATCAGAGACAGCGGGATAGTTCGGTTTGAAATGTAACACTTCAGAAGTAAAACTTGACGGACTTACAAATACAAGTGCGACCTGGAAAGATTTGCCAAGATCTATACTAGCCAAAAATAACATTTAATCACTAGGCCCGTCCATATTTAATAACGAATTCACAAAATGGTCCAACTGTTTTGATCGCGTTTAAAAACGAAAGTACGTTTTTCTGAAATAACTAACTCTATTTTTGTAAGCATGTTTATTGTAAAATAACATAGCTGTATTTGTTATATTGATTACCTATATCATTTATCGATTGATTAAAAGCATTAACTTTTAATAAAACCAACAACTGCTAGTGCTATGTCCCAACAGCAAATTTCATACCAAATCTATGAACCCGCATAACTCGAATACTCGGATAACTCGAAGTTTTCCCACGACCCCATCGACTTTGAGATAACGAGGTTCGACTGTATATTCTTTTGTCTATGTTTTGATATTTCTGACTGTGCCTACCTCTGGAGTAGGTATTTGTCCACTTTTAACATAACTGCCATCTCCGTCCTCGCCACTTGTCCAGTCTCCATATATCAGGCCTTTCTGATGCCAGAACAAGCTGTCCCCATTGTTGAAGTTTGTGAACTCCTCTTCTAAGGATATGTACACATAAAGGTCCTAAGAAAAAATTAGTATAAAGTAATACAAGATTTACAGAATCAATGTTGTTGACATTCAATGCTTACATGCACATATAATAATTGTCTGCAAGCCATTTTGTCATACTGACATGAAAATTATCAAGGACCAAAGGGCCTACCAGTCACTCGAGTAGTAGCATACCCTTAAATCTCAAAAGCAAAGAATCAAATGCTAATTTTTTAAGCTGACTTTTTTTCCAGGATGTCTAATTTTCTTAGCCATTTTATTTAAGACAGAAAGACATATACATTTTCTTTCTTTCTTCTAAAAGTACAAGCCATTGGTGAATAAGCATTGTTATAAGAAGTGATAAACATAAATAAGGTATATAAAATAACCAGAGGGATGTACATGTTGGCGCCCACCATCGTACCATCTTCATTAGTTCTATGTCAGTGTGATCTTTTTTCTTCTTTTCTCTGTTTGATCGAGTATGTAAACAGTAAATGCATCTTGAGGTAACTTTTGATCTTAACTTTACCATGAGTGTTTTCTAATATCTAGTCTACTGTATAATTGCAGTATTATTAATACATTAGCAAGTGAATTATTACAAACAGGATTACAAGTGAATTAATGTCACTATCTCAATATGATGCACACATCTCACCATTAAAGTATCTTTTGGGTACATATTTTCTGAGTAGGGTACAGCTGCTTGTCCATCCTCAGACTTGACTGGTGTTGAGGATGGTCTCCTGAAGAAGCTGCTGATCATGTAAATGAACACCATTCGAACAATCAACGACTTCAAAATACCAAACATCCCTGGACGGGCTGGAGCTTGTTCCTGTGGCTGAAAATAATACATAAACAATATAATGTTTTGAGCGTTTTATATTAGTGCCCCAACCCTTTTTGCAGTAATCAAATACAGTATGAATGATTCATATTGTTCTTCTATACACCAGCAGTAATAAAAGAGGCCCAGAGAGCCTGTATTGCTCACCTGCATTATAAAGCAACAATGGAAAATTATTCTTATTACATATAATGCTGAAACTATTTCCAAATATTCGCTCTGTCTCTCAGCAATACCCGCCTCTCATTAGGTTCCTTCTTTAATTACAGTACCTTTTGTTTATTGAGAAGATGACTTGAAAAGATTTAAACACAATTGACCAGATGTTACCATGAAAGTACATATTGTATGTCAAGGTCAATCACATGAACAATCTTGATAAAGCTCTTCATGATCATCTGAGCATGCTATTGGTCACATATCACCATCTGTGCATTTTGGTTATTCAGAAAAAGTCATTTTAAGTTAGTTTTTTTACATATATTTGACCTGCGTGACCTTGAATATAATTCAAGGTCATTCTTTTGAATAAACTTTTCAAACCTTTCATCCCAGCATTCTACCTTCTAAATATCATATTCCTAGCCATTTTTTTTTATTTGGGAGAACTTGTTTAAGCTTCTGACATATTTTTAGCCTGATGATGTTGAACATGTATGAAGGTCCTCATTTGAACAAATTTGGTAGCCCTTTAAGCCAGCATGTTTCTAGCCAACTATCATCACCACGCACATTTTGGTAATTCAGAAGAAGTTGTTTAAACAGATTTCAGCATATTTGACCCCTGTGACCTTGAATGGGGGTGATGGTCATTCACTTTAACAAATTTGGTGGCCCTTCAACTCTGCTAATGCTACCGATCGCATTATCCGCAATTCACGAGTTTTGATTACTTATTACGAAAAAAGAAATTAGTGCTTTTCGTAAATTGCGCAAAAAATATTATGAGAAAAAACAATTTGTCAAATCAACAAAATCCAAACCTCTGGTTTATATACATGTACATCGTCATTTTAATGAAAATGCAACATCGGTGATCAGGTCACAGATCCTGGGAACAGAAAAAGACCCTTTGTTAGGCTAGATCATCTTGTCAACATGTTTGGTGAATAAAAAGGTTATTGATTTCCCAATGAAATGTACAATTATTATCAACACAAACATTTTAAAACACTCATGTGGAAAGGTGATCATATCACTTGTTTAAACGAAGACATTTTATCAGTTTTGAAAAGTTTTCACTCCAAGTTTGCGGATTTCCATGCTGCGTAAAATAGGTCAGGGATGTCCTCTCAGAGGTGCGAATGATGTCTATTTCTAGTGTTGGGAATCAGATGAGATATTATAATCGATTATCAGAAGACATGTCATAAACAATTAATCGATTATAATCGGAATATCAAAACTTCGGTAAATTTACATTGTGTAGTGTATAGAAAAAAATATAAAATTACAGTATGCAGCTTTCTTTACCTAAACGAGGGTACATACTTCCGGCCTTAACTTACATGCCATAACTTTACAGTGCAAACAAGCGAGATTTGGTCAAAAAAAGTGAGATTTTTTCCCTCTAAATCAATGAGAAAATCGTGAGACATTTAACACAGAAATAATCCGGCATAGAATCATCTCATTTGTGTTATTCTAAAGCCAGATCTTTTGGAACCAAAATTGGAGACTTATTGATATTATTAAGGATTTTAGGTTTACACACGGGTACGGTTCAGATATAGTTATCCATATTTAAAAGTATATATATTACAATGCAAAATTAATACTTCCATCAGAGACAAATGATAAGAATGATTTTAAAAGAAGACAAAATTCGAGAGGGATATTTACTAGTACAGTGTACTTGAGGTGAAAGAAATAGAACTGATCATTGCAATATGAGAAAGATATGTTTAGTTCTTCTTTCTGCCAAGCTTGAGAAAGATCCTTCAAGTTATTTCTGAGAAACAGAACTATGTTAACAATGTCAAAAATTGAAGATTGTCGCCGGTTGGCCTTTTTGTTTATTTGATAAGTTTCAAAAATAAATATGCTAAACTAAGGACCAAAGGGAACCAACATGTAAAATTTGAGAAAGATCCCTCTAGTGCTTCCTAAGAAATAGCGATAACAAACATTCACAGTAAAAATCCAAGATGGCTGCCTGTTCGTCATTTTGTTTATCTGATCAGTCTCAAAAGTTAAACTGCACAACAAGGGACCAAGGACAACCTGCATATCAAATAAGAGAAAGATCCCTCCAGTACTTTCAGCTGAGAAATAGCGATTAACAAACCTTCAATGTCAAAATCCCAGATGGCTGCCTGTCGGCCATTTTGTTTATATGATCATTCTCAAAATTAAACATGCACAACTGAAGACATACAGTAATGGAGCCCACATAAGAAATTGGGGAAGGATTCCTCCAGTACTTCCTGAGAAATAGCGATAACAAACCTTTGATGTCACAGACCAAAGAGAACCTACATGTATATATTAAATTTGAGAAAGATCTCCCCAGTACTTTCTGAGCAATATCCATAACAAACCTTCCCTGTCAAAAACCAAGATGGCTGTCTGTCGGCAATTTTTTTTATCTGATCAGTCTCAAAAGTTAACCTGCATAACTAGGGACCAAGGGGAACGTACATATACAAATTTGAGAAAGATCCTGCTGGTAATTCCTGAGAAATAGCAATAATAAGATTTTGTTAAGGGCAGTCGAACCACGGACGCAGGGCGATTTGAATAGCTCATGTGGCCACCATCAGATGATGGTTGGCTCAAAAGTTCTTGCATTTACCACACAATCCCCTTATTTGGCAAATGCAAGTTAACTTCTGAAATGCCTACTTTTTCAAGCTATATTGGTATGCAAAATATACGACTAAGTTTCTTTAAAATATGTTCGTGAATGAAGGCCCGAGAGCGATGACAAGGAAAACTTAACAGACGGACATTCGGACATCAGTTAACGCAGCCCATACCATGACCCGTCGAACGACAGGCTTACATTAATAGTTTTACATTTCAATATATCTATTAAAAGATTTTAATAGAGGGACCATTTAGGGCCATTAGAGGCCAGAAAAGTAAAGGCACATTCTAAAAAAATGGCTGCTCATAATCAATTTTGGCTAATTTTTTGGCATCTTCGCTAGCCAAGGGTTCACTTCGTATACACTCAACTTACCCTTGGCAGATATAGCCGTGTTTACCGAGCCTTAACATTTTCGTGCAGTGCCAATTAAATCACGTCTTACATATAGCGCTGTTGACGAAGGTAAACAGTAATGGTGACGCCCTGTACAGAAGCACGTTGTCGTTTATGAAAGAGTGTTTTAAATCAGTTGGTGGAAATCCTTGACTACGTGCCACATGTAAATGATGACCTGGGAAAATATGTGTGCTGCCTTTGGATTGTTTCCATATTGCTCTGTCATTTATACTTCTCCTCAACATACACATGCTTTTGTCAACATGCTGATGGAGTGTGTATGTAACAGTCATTCTGATTGGTTAAAGTAATTTTGGGAGAAGAGCGATAACTCAGTATATCCGCTAGGTGGCAGTGGAGGGAATTATGAAAACACAGCTATATCCGCCAAGGGTAAGTGGAGTGTATACGAACCGAACACTTGGCTAGCGTAGATGTTTTTTGGTAACTGATATTTTAGGTCCTGGTTACATTTTTTGTATGTACGGTAGCCCTTATCAATGGGCCGACTGATTTTTGGATCATATAGAATAATAATACATACATAATATTTTTCGTTCAGGATAGTTCTAAGGAGGCAGTACCCAAATCGGATCACTTATTGCAAAATGCACCATTTTTGTCTACAGAGGATTAGTTTTTAAGTTCAAATAGCAAAAGAAAACGTAATTCAAACTCAAATGTCAGTGTTTTGATCACGTTTAAAAACAAGAGGCCCAATGGGCCTGCATCGCTCACCTGGTATAAAATTCACGCTTGTAACCTTAAAAGTGATCTAAAATAAAGCTACAGGCAAAATATCAGTATTTATGATTAAAATTCGTTCAAAAGACCCTGTTATTTTTTTTTAAAACATTTCACCCCTGTGATTGAAAGTCGAACAAAGTCATTATGTTGAACACATTGTATAGGCTTTCATCTCAGGATGCAACTTGCAAAGTATAAACATCCTGGGACCCATGGTTATTCATAAGAG